TTTATCTTCCTTGGCCTTGTCACTCCATACTTGGTTGCTCTGTTGCTGGAATTTGCCCTTTTTTACTCATGTGCCTTTACCTCTCTTATACCTCATGGACCTTTATTTGGCTCCTTTCCTTGCCAGAGTGTTTTGAAGAGAGTACCTGAGTCTCTGGAATCGTGTTTTGAGGCCATGTGCTAATGTTCTTTCATATTCTTCATAGTTTATCATCCCACCCACGCTCCTTCTTTATGTATTTCTGTCTTCCATCCTCCTGCTTCCTCTCCTCTCCCTGTCCCCTTTTCCTGTTCTGCTCCCATCTATCATTCCACTGTTTGTAGACTTCAGCACCATCAGTTTTGTTGGTGACTATTCTATAGGCTCAGTGATAGTACCGACCCATTTGACTCAATTTGCAGACCTTTGGCATCCATTTGTAGCCCAGAGGGTCTTACTTTTTTCCCTCTTCCCAGAAATCCTGGTTCTTGACAGGGTCTGTTTGAAGAAGTGTTCGACCTATTGGCCAAAACACTATTGAACAGGTTTTTCATCCTTCTCCAGGATTTTATTCCCATCTGTTTGTTGTTCCCAAGAAAACAGGAGATTGATGCCAGGTCATAAGTCTTTCATGTTGCAATTGATTTCTTGACCTACCTCAATTTACCATGGAGACTTTTCTCACCTAAAAGTAGTCTTGTGCTCTGTCTTTGGATGACCAAAGTGGATATCATGGATGCTTATTTTCACATTTTCATTTCCTCTGTATCTGGACTTTACCATCAATTTGCTCATCAGAGTCAGATTTTTCAGTTTCATACTCTCTCTCTCTCGTTTTTGCCCAGTGTCTGCTCTATACATTTTTTGCTAGGTAGTCAGAGCTTTTGTTTGTCATATTCACAGCTTGGGATTGCAATTTCACCGTTACACAGACAACTGGTTTCTTTTGGCTCTATCCCATCAAGTCTCTTACAGCCATTCTCTTCTCTTTTGAGAGGCATCTCATCTTGGTTGGTTGGTCAGTCAAACTGGAGTAGTCTTATCTCCACTTAACCCTACCAAGATGGGTCTTGTTATGGTCACAGTTTAAAGACCAGATCATCATGTTTGTAGACTTGCACTCAAATTTTAATGAACTACTATTTTATGAATGTATATCAATAAGTTTGGTATCAAATTTTAGTATTATACATAAGTTACTTTATTAATTTAAAAGTAAATATTAAAAAAAACACCTAAATTTTGACTTGTGTGTGTCACATGGTATGTTGATTGCAGCATTGATTCAGATTAAATATTTATGATGTCCAAATACAAAATCTTTAGTTTCTTACAAATTAGGAACTCAAATGACCAATAATGACAAGCTAGAATGTCCTATCTTTTCTATTTGCTGAGATATTGCTATACTTAGTGAATCAAACATAGTGGCCCCACCCACCTCTTTCCATATTTGGAAACACTTGCTTACATACACCTATTCTGTCTATGACCAACCTCATACCCATTTTATGCTTCTTATATTTTTCATGCTATAACTTTTAAATTAGTAAGTGTATGTTAATGAAATTTGGCACTTTATTAGTAAACATTACAATGCTTTTATATACAAAATATCATTTTTTTTTTTATTAAGTCTTAAGGTTTGTTAAGCAATGTTTTTCTCATGCCTTTTTTTTCTTTTCACATGTTGCCTATCCAACAGGCAAAGTAATTTTCATTTTATGATTAAAAATACTTTTATGGATCAGAAAATTTTCAAATTTCACATGCGAAATCTTTATAATGTCCAGATAGTTATGAAATGTTTCTTAAGAAAAAGAACTTTACATTTTATCTGTTGTTTTCACTAATAAATCTCTGTATGGGTTCGGTAAATTTTACTGATCTTGTAATCACCATAAAAAATTATGAAATAAATATAAATTATGCCTCTTTCTTTGTAGAATAACAACATATTACAACACGAAAACATTAATGTTTAGACTAAATAGCTTAAATCTCATAACATTATACATTTATATATATTTATTATTTTTATTATATTGACCTTTCAGCTGTACCCTGCTAACAATACAGAAGTTACAATGATGCGGCACATGTGCTTTCATGTTACCATATCAAATATTATAAAACTGACCATTAGTCTTTACAAAGTGACTTATCTTGGCTGTGTTTTAGTAAACTAGTATTTTGTAAAATACAGTCACATTTCAATTATTATACATTATATGTGTATATAGATTATTACTATTTAGAAATAAGTTCTTAAACTTATTTTTATTAAAACATAAAACAGTAAATAAAGAAGTAAAGCAAACAATTATCTCTTCTAGCTACGATCTTTGTACTCAGTTGCTGCTTGACGTAGGTTGCTAAGACTTTTAAAATTTGGCATGTGGAGGATATGAAATGAAATAATTGTTTTTCAGGTTTTATATATACAGTTGAATAACAAAAGAATCATAAATTACTATATTGATACTATAATTTATCTAAAAATATGAAATTTCAAGCAGACTAAAGACACAACCTACCTCCTTGAAATCTTGGTTTGAAAGAAAGAGATTGCGTCCTAACACATGGAAATGGCTGAGAAAGCCACTATGGGGACATTCTGAACTTTCAAATGGTTATTCACATGTCATATATTGAAGGAAGTGTATATAAGGGGCCACAATGTTTGATTCATTTCATGAGTCATATATCAGCAAAGAGAAAAGATAGGAGGTTATTATTTTATATTCTAGCTTGTCAATATCAGTAACTTGAGTTCCTAATTCGTACAAAACTATAGACTTAATACTTTGACATCACAAAGATCTAATTTGAACTGATGCTGCATTCAACATACCATGTGACACACAAAAATTGATGCTTAACTATGTTTTTTAATATTTACTTAAATTAAAAAATAAAGTAATGTATAATACTAAAATTTGAATTACAATTTACAGTTTGATACCAAACTTATTGACATAAATTCAGGAAGTAGTAGTTCAATAACATTTTAAATATCAGTTAACAAATGTGATGACATAGCCATTGACCCATTACCTGTCTGGAGAGGGTTAAATTCCTTTGGGGCAAGTTTGAAGAAAGGAAAAATAAATCTCTTGGAAACTCTTGATGGAAACCATGCCCACTTTCTACACGTAGTCATATGATTTCTCACTCAACACTATTTCTCAAGATGTTTATAACCAAAAGAAAGAGCGGATTTGACACTACAATTTTCTATTTGTTATTTTTAAACTGGTGCACAGAATCTAATACAAGATCTTGAACATGCTCTCAGTATTGTTGCTCCTTATATCCTTTCTAACACTTTGTATTGTTTTTCACCTAAAAAGATGGTAATTTGATAGAAAATTAAATTGTACTTAGGTTTTAGTTTTATATTTTGATTAGTTATATGTTATTTATGTTTTAAAATGCCTATTAGAAAGGTCCTTTCAATTTTGATTGAATCAATAACTTGTGACTGCAGGCTACCCTGTTTTTCTTCCTCATTTTGATCTTCATCTGTTCACAGGTTGGGGCACTGTGTTGGCAGATCAGCATCTTTTTGTGGATAGATTCCACAGAAAAGTGCATTTCACATTAACTTACTGGATCAGTGGATGGCTCATTATACCTGTTTAAAGCTATTATCTTTTCTATACTACCATACCATATTCATTCGAACAGATATATCCATAGTGGTGGTGTAAATCAACAAACATTACACTACTTTATTTCACAACTCCATTCTTCTGTGGCTTCATTCTCAGCATGTCAGATTCCAGTTATGATGAACATTTTAGTAGGCTCTCTTTCATGATGTTGTTGGCTTCTTCCCACAGAATGGACTCTGCACCATTTAGTTTTTCAGTGATTATGTGAGTGGCTGAGTCTTTCATTGATTGATGCATTTACCATCGCAGACAATCATCTGCTTCCACCCTATTGGTTTACAGTCTTGGATCCAGCTTTTCTGGCAGTAGTTGCTTCAATTGAAATTGGGAGAATCTTTTTCTTTGCATCTTCTCTCTTTTCTACCTTTTTTTTTCACAATTACAGACAGAGATCAGTTCCAAAAAGTGTTGAGTTCTCCTCATTGCTCCATTCTGACTAGCCCAACCATGTTTTACCTGTTACACTAGCTTTCTTATGAAGAACCGTCTCCATTACTACCATTGAAACATCTTAGTAGTCAAGCTCAAATGTCCATTTTTCACATCAATGTTTGACATCCCTGACTTTATGGATGGTTGTTATTTGGTCATTATGTCTCATCAGGGCTGTTCTTTGTTAAATTGTATGTACTAAATCATTCAGGGGTCTTTAAAGAGGCTCTTAATACATTATGATTAATCATGCTCCTTGAATTTTACTCCAGTGACATTCATAAATTGGCCATTGCACTTGATTTAACTTGTTGGTCATAATGCACCTGATTACCTTAAAAATACTTGGCATCCTAGTTGCAGTATCAATTGGAAGACCTTATGCTGGCTGTTATGTGGAAAAATCTTTGTCTCTTCAGCTTCTGAATTCTGTTTGCCTCCTGTAGAGGTACTCCAAGACAGATGGAATCCTTAAGAGATGAGTTTAATTATGCTAGTAGAAAAATTTCCTAGGTTCTTTTGTAACATGAGATTTGGGTTTCAGATGGTTTGGTTCAATCAGGATTGTCGTATGTTTTCTTTTACTTCTGTGATTGTCTTATACATTATTCCACTTTCTGAACTGAGGCTCCATGAGAAGCGAACAGAGGATGCCATAAGGTAGCAGCTGATGCCTTGGCAAGTACCTTTTCCCACTTCTGCATACATGTTATGTTTCATTTCAAAATATTGGAGATGTGATGAGCATTCTTCAATTGATGCCTCATACTTTTATCCAAGGTGAAGTACACCGTACAGCTCATTTTCCTCTTGTCTTACTTCCTTACCTAGTCTTCTCAATGCACCATCTTCAGGACTGCCCGGCTCTTTTTAATTCTCCCTAGGTGTCTACTGACTAAGCCAGTTTTATGTCTTTGCTGGCATTTTAAATTATAGATGGTGGTATGTATTTTAGCTCTGTAGTATGCCTAATCTCTACTTAATTACTGGTCTTTTACCCTGAGGATCTTCCAATGGCAAGTGCAGGACAATGCTTTGTGCTCTGACCCTGGATGCCTATCTAGCTACTACCTGTGCATGAACCTGATTATACAGATATCTCCATACTCTCTGACCCCTTTTTATATCATAATTAAAGGGCATTTAGAGCAAAGCAGAATTCTGTTGTAAAATATGGTTTCCCTAATGTTATCCTCATATTTATTTTTGTCTCTTTTAGTGGCTGGGCTTCTCTACCCAGTTCTTCCAGATGCATCATGTTTGTCACATGCTGCTTTGATTGTAGATTCTACCTAGGCTCTGCTTGATCTCACCACTCAGTGTTCATGTGATCTAAGAATGTTACCTTTCCTGTCTCAGAGCTCTGCATCCAATGATATAGTTGTTGTTTTATCATGACACTCTTTAGTTCCCTTTTCCATCTCAGTGTGGGTATTCTTTCTGAGGTAAGTCTACCTGATTTGAAATTTACATTTTTCAGAATTAAAATTAATTTCAGTCAGGTACTTTTGAAATACATTCCCTCTCACTTCTTCACAACCAGAAGAAACATGTTATGACACCATGACTGAAATAAAGAAATCTGGCTTATGGTGGAAAAGCAAAACTTATGCACTTTTTCTGGTGCTTGTGCAAGAAATTATGTTAAAGGTAAGAGAGTGGAGAACTTTGGGTAAGGTGGGATATGTAATTTATTGCATCAAGGAAACTCAAAACTAAAAGTCACATGGTTGTTGACAGTGAGAATGACTTAACAAGAAAAGGTTTAAAGTCCTTTTGACCTTCACAAAGCTGCTAATTTGATTCCTAATTCTGGAGTTTTCAGTTCCTAACTTTTACATCCTTTATTGCTGTGAGCATCTTGTTTGAATGCTGCATAGTAGTCCAAAGTTTGTTCAAAATAAAGATAAGTGAATGTGGTTCATAAACTGTTAATTAGAAAGTATATTTATATTACACTTACATCAACTTAAATGAAAAATTGATGAAAAAAGAAGAGTCATCTGTAAAACAAAGGTTCCTATTCTTGACCACCTGAACAGTCCCTAAGATTTCAGGTATACAGATTACATGCCTACTTCTAATGATTAGAATTGTTCAACTAGCTCTTGTGAAGATCAGTTTGTTCACGTGTCTCACTGCTAAATACAAACAAGTATGCTGCCTTTTCTTAAGAAAACCCTACAGTTTGTCAGATACTGGGTTTATGATTATTAGATACACTTCATTACATGTTCTTGTTAGTCCTTTGATATATGTGCATGTATCTATGTTTCTGTTTATCTCACACAGGTTGGCTAAACATTTCCTTCATTTTACATCTTGTAGACTCAAATTATCTGAAGGACCAAGATGAAAGAAGAAACTATTGTGGCTGTTTTAATTTTTAACTATATTTTAATCAATTTTCAGATATTATTAAGAATTGTGTAACTGTAGTATATTTTATGACACCTAGCTATGAAAAAGAGGGGAAAAAATTAAAGAAATTAAACTTTTTTAAGTTAACTTGTGTAGACTAATATTAATGTGTATTTTGAAACAGGGTTTGAAAGCTCTTTGGTCCCCCCACACAGGAATTGTTGACTGGGGAAAAGTGAATCATTCTTACTCAGAAGACTTCAAATATCGAGGAGGTGATGTGTGTTTGCAGTTTGAAGTTTGTGGTTTTCATACAGTGCCAGAAAGTCAAAGATTTACTACTTCTAGCCAGAAAGAATTTCCTGTTAGGGTGACTAGTGAAAAACAGGTATTATAAATAAATTTATAACAAACAGAAAGTAAGAAAAGCTTAGTACAGGGTATTTTAATTACAACTATAATTAAAATTGTAGGAAATATCTTGCAAATATAAAATTAGGTTTTGTTTGTTCTTGCAGTTATTATTTTATAAATGTAATTTAGGCTACATTTACACTCTCCATGTGGCACCTTAAAACTGTGAAAAGACATATCACTGACTTTATGTATAACAATAACATATTATTACTTATTCCTTAAAAAGAATTAAAACTTTTTTATTCTTATTAACTCTGTTTCATTACTTTATTAGTGTTCATTGCATCATACAATAAGGATTTTTTTGTCAAATTTTCAGCAATTACTTTGGCTCCTCTCAACAAAAATTTTTATGTTTTACTTTATTCCTTTATTAGCTTTTAATATTGTCTGTTTACTTTCAAAATGGTGTGAGCTACAAAATAATTTAAATATAGTAAGTACTATAAGATAAAATATACAAATGTTTTTGATATTTTCACTTTTGTTTAGAATAGAAGCAGTTTGAAACTTTTAAACAAATTATTTCTAAACTTTTGTATTTGAAAGATCTATAAAGTATTTTCACAGTTTTTGTTATGTTTAAAAAAATGGAATGAATTTACTTTCTATAGGCATGCAGAAGGACATTTAACTTTCTTGATCCATATGCTAACTGACCCACTGAAAGTGTTAGGACATCTAACAGCTAATTTTACTCTGAATTTTAATAGCAAACTAACAGTTTGAGACAAAGAGATTATGCTGAGGTTTCTTGATTAATAGTGAGCTTTAAACTGGCAATCTTTAAAGAATTCATGATTCCTCAGTTGCACGTAATCCTGCACTTTATTCACTTCGGGATTCATGTTTTTTCAGTCACTTAATCCTAAGCTACATTGATTGTGGAATTCATGATACATCAATTGCACATAATACTAAGCTTTATTCACTCTGGAATTCATGTTTTCTAAGTAATTTAATCCTGAGCTTTTTTGACTATGGGATTTGATTCCTAAGTTGCATTTAATCCTGAACTTTATTCATCACTAATAAATTCATGAATTTCAGTTGCACTTAACCCTGAACTTTATTTACTGTGGCAGAGTTATCATTTAATTTATTCAGACAACATTGGGCATAAATTCCCCTTACCACTTCCCAGCACACCACAGATTCCTTTATTGCATTGAACATACAGCTTTATTCATCAATACAAATGTATCTTTGATGTTGTTACTTCTCTGTTCATTTGTTAATTTCCCGTAAAAATTCTTTCCAAATTAAAATACAACAAAGTCTCCTAATTTTACTAGAAACTCATCACGTGTTACCAGCATCGTGTGACTTCTGCTGTCGTAACACTGCCCCTTCCTTGGTATTGTTCGACTCGAACAATAGCCACTTACATTAAACCAATAGATAATTAACAATAACTTAATCAAATTTACAGAATTTACAAACACAAAATTAAAATACAACAAAGTCTCCTAATTTTACAGGATGTATCTTCTTCTGTACTGGTCTCCATTTCATTGGCTTCTGCTTCACATGGGGTTCATCTGCTCCATCAGGAAATGTCCTATTATTGGTAACAGTCACATCAGTGGTAGTAACTTCATCAAGGGCTTCACTGTTTCCCTTCTCAAAACCAGGTAGAGTTTCTTCTTTGACAGTGGCTTTTTCAGGTGACACGTCTTCAGCAGCATCATTTGTTCCATTGTTCCTTTTGTTCCAACTGAAATGTCCTGGACTGTGATAATCCCAAAGCCTGTTGGCATGCACCACCTTTGTTTTACCTCGCCGACCACATTTTATTTGGAAAGTCACGTCTGAGAGACGTTCCATAATGTTATATGGGCCTTC